GGGAAGTTATGGACCATACCCCATGTCACTCCCAGCACAGCCAACCGGCCGCACAACCACCCCAGGAGCTTGCCAGGGCTGCAGGACCCACTTGGGCTCTAGCCCAGAGCTGCTGGCTTGGCCCCTGCGGTCTCTCCAGTCTCAGGTGCGCCTAGCAGCCTCAGAGGCACTGCCCTACACCTCGGAGCCCTCGCGCGGGTAGATGAGGCTGTTGACCATGCTGAAGTTGTAGAAGGGACTGCTGAACCGGCTGCTCTGGCCTCCTCCGCTGCCGCCAGGGAAGGGGCTGTAGTAGGAGGGCCGCTGGCCGCTGCTGCTGCTGCCGCCCTGCTCAGCTGCAAAGCATCGGGAGAGGCCTCGGAGATGGAGGTGGCGGGGAAGGGGCCACCGGGGCCAGCTGGGCGCCCTGGAGGCCCAGGTGGCGGCCGCCCGGCATGGCGCGCGGTGTGCTCCCACTGCTGCCGACGCGCAGGGTGCTGAGGCTGCTGAAGAAAGTGTTGAGGCATGGCGTGGAGGTAAGCATGGCCCCCCGGGAGATGAGGCAGTACTCTTGGTGCCCTCGGGAGGCTCCGGGGACTGGGAGGGCCTCAACAGAGAGGGGCTGTCCCCTCGGGCCTCCCGCCCACGCCAGCCCCGGATCCGGAGGAGAGCCCCTCTTCTGATTCTGCTGTCCCTGCAGCCACGGTAGAGGCCTTGCTGGCTTCAGAGCGGCGCTTCTGGCGGAAGTTGCCGTTGTCGAACATTTCCTCACAGTTTGGGTCCAGAGTCCAGTAATTTCCTTTCCCTGGGTCGTCCTCGTCGCGGGGCACCTTCTGGAAGCAGTCGTCGAGCCACAGGTTGTGGCGAATGGAGTTCTGCCAGCCGGCCTTGCTGCGCTGGTAGAAGAGGAAGCTGTCGGCTACGAGCTGGTAGACGTGGCTGAGCGTGAGCTTGCGCTCGGGCGCGCTCTGGATGGCCATGGCGATCAGCGCCGAGTACGAGTAGGGAGGTCGCACCATCTTCATCAAGTCCTCGCGGCTGGCTGCGGTCAGCCAGCCCAGATCTGCCAGAGCGGCGGGCCCCGCGGGAGAGGCGGGCGCGGCGGGCGGCGGCTGCGCGAAAGGCCGCTGCGCGCAGCCGAAGGGGCCGGTGGCGGCCGCGGGCTGCAGGAAGGGCCCGGCCGCGGCGCCGGGGGCGGTGGCGCTGGTGGAGGCGGCGGGGCGCCCAGGAACGCGGCGGCCGTGAAGGAGGGCGAGCCGCCCACACCCGGGCCGTGGAGCCACAGGTAAGGGTTGGCGGCGGCGGCCGGCGGCGCGGTGTAGTGGGCCAGCCCGTAGGGCGTCCTGGCGGTCGGGGGGCGCGCCCGGGGCGGTGGTGGCGGCGGCCGAGGGCAGGCTGGGCTGCGAGTATACGCCGAAGTTGTCCCCGCAGTAGAGGGCCATGTCGGCGGGCGGGTGCGGCGCAGCGGCAGCCAGGGGCGAGCGGGGCTGGTCTCTCGCCGCTCGGACAAGAGCATCCCTTTGGGGGCCAACCCTGCGGCCCCTCCTCAACCCTGGCTCGGCACAGGGCCCCGCAGACCGGTCTCGCGCAGGTCGATTTTTAAATGTTATTTATTGCAGCATTAGTCAGAATACTTATACCTTAGATTTATACAAAGCATAAGGATACGCAAATATGTTTTACATTATCTTGATCAGTAATGATATTTGGTCTAACAGGTAAGAAATTTTTAGGTGAAAATGTGTTACTTTTCTCACTTTAGAAATCTAGAGCATTTGTATGTTCATTGTTTACTATGCAATGAATGGTATAAATTGTCATATTAGCTTTCTCTTCACATTATAAGGTAAGAAAGTAAAAATTATTGCAAGTACAATGTGAAATTTTGTAACAGGGAGTAAGTAGTGCACTGTTTAAAAAATCATCAGATCTTGTAATGCCTATAAGAGGTTTTCAAGATATTCACACAAAATGTATATTATGGATTCAAAATATTTTTAAAATTTTGTTTAAAGTATACACATTTTATATATATACAGAATCAGTAACATAGTGAGACTTTCCACCTTACCCTCACTCCTACTCATGCTCTCACCCTTCTTTCTTCTCCCTCCTCTCTCATTCTTATTTTTCACAAAGATCTATCTTCAGTTAAGTTTATACTCGTAAGATTAACCCTACACTAAGTTCAACAAATAATGTGAAGAAAAAAACATTGTTCCTTTACAGTCAAGATGAGCTGTTCAAAATTATCACATTTCATAGTGTCAATTTCACTCAAATAGATTAGCTTTTAGGTACTCTATTAAGGAGAAATATGGTATTTGTTTGGGCCTGGCTTGTTTCATTAAATATAATGGTTTCCAATTGAATCCATTTTGTTGCAAAAGACAGAATTTCATTTTTTACCATTGTATAGTATTCCATAGTGTGTGTGTGTGTGTCTGTGTGTGTGTGTGCGTGTGTACACACCATAATTTCTTTATCCAGCCTTCACTGATGGACAGCTGGGTTGATTCCAATTTTTAGCTATTGTGAATGGAGCTGCAATAAACTTGTGGGTAGAGATCACTCTTTCATGTGCTGATTTCTTTTCTATTGGGTAAATTCCCAGGAGTGGGATGGCTGGATCATATATGTGAGGTATCTCCATACTTTCTTCCCTAGTAACTGCACCAGTTTACATTCTCACCAACAGTGGATTAGGGTACCTTTCCCCCACATCCTTGCCAGCATTTTTTGTTTGTTGATTTCTGTATAAGAATCATTCTAGCTGGGGTGAGTTGATATCTCATTGTGTTTTTGGTGTGCATTTCCTTGATGGCTAGTGATCCTGAGCATTTTCATGTGTCTGTCACCATTTGAATTTCCTTTTTTGAAAAAGTCGTGTTCAAATCCTTTGCCCATTTCTTAACTGTATTGTTTGTTGTTGAATTTTTTGAACTCTTTATAGGTTCTGGATATTAATCCTTTATCAGTTGCAGAGTTTGCAAATAATTCCTCCCATTCTGTCGATGCCTCTTCACCTTGCTGTTTGTTTTGCAGTGTAGAAGCTTCTCAGTTTGATGTAATCCCATTTGTCAATTTTGGCTTTTATTTCCTGTGCTTCTGGGGTCTTTTCCAAGAAGTCTATGCCAATATCATTGATGTTTTCTAATATTTGATGGTATTAAAGATTCAGGTCTTTGATCAATTTTGAGTGGATTTTTGTGTAAGGTGTAAGATAGATGTCTTGTTTCATAATTCTGCATGTTTAGATCCAGTTTTTCCAGCGCCATTTTTTGAAGAGACTGTCCTTACTCCAGTGACTTATTTTTAGCTCCTTTGTTAAAGATAAGTTGGTTGTAGATGTGTAGGTTAATTTTTGGAGTTTATATTCTGTTCCATTGGCTTATATGTATATTTTTGTGCCAATACCAGGCTGTGTTTTTTACAGGTAGAGTTAGACAGTGAGAGAGACAGAGAGAAAGGTCTCCCTTCCATTGGTTCACTCCCCAAATGGCCCCCATGGCTGGCGTGCTGCACCGATCCGAAGCCAGGAGCCAAGTGCTTCCTCTTGGTGTCCCATGCAGGTGCAGGGCCCAAGCACTTGGGCCATCCTCCACTGCCTTCCCGGGCCGCAGCAGAGAGCTGGACTGAAAGAGGAGCAACTGGGACAGAACCAGTGCCCCAACCAGGACTTGAACCCGGCGTACCAACGCCGCAGGTGTAGGGTTAGCCTAGTGAGAGTGGGCATCCTTGTCTTGTTCCGGATCTTAGTGGGAATACCTCCAACTTTTTCCCATTCAATAGGATGCTGGCAGTGGGTTTGTAATAAATTGCCTTGAGCTGAGCCTATCTAAAGCCAGGTACCAGAAGCTTCCCATGTGGAGTGCAGGGACCCAAGGACTTGGGCCATCTTCTGATTTCCCAGGCACATTAGCAGGGAGATGGATCCAAAGTGGAGCAGCTGGGACTCACACTGGAGCCCATGTGGGATGTCAGCACTGCAGGACATAGCTTTACCCACTATACCACAGCACTATCTCCTGAATCCTTCATTTCAATCATTTCAGTTTGATTTCTGTTCAAAATCTCAATCTCAATCTCATGGGAAACTTTTTTCCATGCCATGCATGCAAATCTTTAACTCGTGAATTTACATCTCTTTTCTTCTGAGTAATCCTATGAGTGTTCTTTTGAATTCCTTTTCAGGCATTTTGTCAAACTCTTCATCTTCACATTCTAATAATTAAGGTTTTTTTTTTCACTTTTGGGGTATCATGTTGTCTTCCTTAATCTTATTTCTTCAATTTCCATATATTTAGGCATTTGTGGAAATACTTGTTGGTTTTATCCTATGATAGATTTTTTTTTTTTTTTGACAGGCAGAGTGGACAGTGAGAGAGAGAGACAGAGAGAAAGGTCTTCCTTTGCCGTTGGTTCACCCTCCAATCTCAATCTCATGGGAAACTTTTTTCCATGCCATGCATGCAAATCTTTAACTCGTGAATTTACATCTCTTTTCTTCTGAGTAATCCTATGAGTGTTCTTTTGAATTCCTTTTCAGGCATTTTGTCAAACTCTTCATCTTCACATTCTAATAATTAAGGGGCAACCGGGACAGAATCCGGTGCCCCAACCGGGACTAGAACCCGGTGTGCCGGCGCCGCTAGGCGGAGGATTAGCCTAGTGAGCCGCGGCGCCGGCCCCTATGATAGATTTTTATTTGAACTCTGTTTCTGCGATTTTGTGCAGAATATTTTTCACTGAATATCCAGAGGCATGCTGGGTCTGGCCAGGGAGCTCTGGTCAGCATTCTAGTTTGGGGTGAGTATCCAGTGTGCCTCCTAAGATGTGCATGGTAGATCTCCTCTATTTTCAGAGGGGGAAGGGTATGGTCACCTCTGTTGACATCATCACTCCCTCATCTCCTCTCTTCTAAGGTGATCAAAGCCTAAGTTTAGCCCACAGTAGGTAAAGCACTCACCTGGCCTGCAGCATGAACTGCACAAAGGAACTGTGCAATCTTCAGTGTGAGCATGGATCCCTCTGCCATGTCCTACCCCAGGTATTCAGGGAGCTCTGAGCCTGTGTCACTGGACACAGTGATTGCTCAGAGATTCAGCTACACCCTGAACCCTAACATGCAGTCAGAATTCCTACAGTCACAGCATGCAAGGCTCCCACAGTCATGGGGTGCTGACTCTGCCCTGCAGACCTGTCCCATCCTTGGAGAGAGTAGCCGTGTACCCAGAGTCAACTGCCTGTGTTGCTCCACCTAGGCAGTTCTAACTCCAGAGCCTGTGATATGTTTAGAAGATGGGGCTGCCTCACAGTCTTCTCTGGGTGCTCAGCCCCTGTCAACTTCCCAGCTAGGCTCAAACTAATTGGGGCAAATTGAATTTTCCTTCTTGTAAAATCCCGTGATCACCAATGTGCCCAAGAGCTGCTACAGTTTTGAAAATGGCATCTTCTCACTCCAGCGCTTGGAGCCTTTGTAGGAGAATGGGGATAAAGAAATGTGCTTTTCTTTCACTGGATCAGGTGGGTACCCTGCTTATTTTAGGGTTTGACTTGAAGACAGCATAATCTGCCAGGCTCTCTGTCTTGCAATAGGGCTAGTAAAATGGGCTGCCACAGTTTGTTCTCACCTCACTCTCCAAAGCTGGTGTATGCTCCAGCTCTTGGCTGTGGGGTCATGTGGGGGCTGTGGTGTCCTCACTCATTTCTACATGTCTGCACTTTGCATGCTGTTCCGTGGTATCCCTCTTCCTTCTGTAGAACTTCTACTGCAAATTTCTCTCCAACTCTCCCCTGGGAATGCACTTCCTCTGCCTTTTTTCTATTTTTCCCTCTCAGCTAAAACTGCAAGCTGCAAGGTGTGCAGTGATAGCTTCCTACCTTGGCATGGTAAGATGCTGGCTCATAGCCTGAATCTGGCTGTGCCACATGGCTGGCTGCACCAATGTCTTTGTCTTATCTTGTTTCACAGAGTCTTGGGTTTATTTATCTATTTATTTTTCACTTCTTTGCTGAAAAGTTCCATTAGACCACTTGTAATGCAGTCCTTCCTTTGTTCTTTTCATGCCTTAGAGCAGCTTAAGTAATTGTGGTTATATCCTATTCAGCCATCTTGGAACTTCTTTTAAAGTTATTATAGAGAAAAAAGAAATGTGCAATTATACTGTATTTTCCAATTACTTACAGAATTAACTTTCTTGACTCGTGTGTGTGTGTGTGTGGTTTTGTGCATTTAAAATCATTGTCTGATGTCTCTTACTTTCAGCATGAAGATATTGTTTTAGTGCTTACTATAAGGGGGATCTGCTAGCAATGTATTTTCTCAGCTCATATTTATCTAGGAAGTTGTTTTGCCTCATTTAAAAAATTGAAGCATAAAACTTTCACCTTTGAAGTATACAATAAAGTTATACACATATATATTTGTGGAAATACAATATATAATTTCAGAACATTTTCCTTAGCCTCCTGAAGAAACCCCCCTGCCAAATAGCACTTATTACTGCTGCTTGGAGACTACTTTTTATTTCTGTGTGTTTGCCTATTTTGGATATTTCACATAAGAAGATTCACACAATATGTGGATTTTTGTTTCTTTGTTCACTTAGCATCTTTTCAAGGTTCTTTCATGTTGCATCATGCATCAGTGCTTCTATCTGCATTATGGTAAATAATATTCTATTTATGGATATGCCACAATTTATTTATCCATTCATCAGTAGATTGCTTTTTTATATTTTGATTAATACTATTAAGAATATATATGCAGAGATTGTTATGTATATGTGTTTTCGGTTCTTTTGGGTATGAACCTAGGAGTACAATTTCTGGACCTTATGGTAACTTGATGTTCAAATTTTGATACTCTGCCCAGGTGGTTTCTATAAAAGGTACATTTTTACATTCCCACCAACAATATGTTGTTTCTAAGTTTACTTGAATTTTTTCCCAAAACTTTTTATTGTCTCTTTTCGATTATAGACATCTGGGTACGTATGTAGTGGTATTTATATCATCGTAGATTTGATTATGTCTTATTGCCCTCTGGTTTCCATGGTTTCTGATGAGAAGTCAGCTGTTAACCTTATTCAGGCTGCCTTAAACATGAATCACATTTTCCTTTATTGATTTCAAGATTTTGTTTAGAAATTCTGTTTAGAGATCTTGACTATGATATGCCAATAATAGCTTCTCGCATTTACTTTACATGAAATTCACTGGACTTCTCAGATGTCTGTATTCATGTTTCTCATGAAATTTAGAAATAGTTTAGCTACTATTTATTCAAATGTATTTTCTGTTCCTTCTCTTTTTTCTTTCATTTTTTTTTCACAGGCAGAGTTAGTGAGAGAGAGAGAGAGAGACAGAGAGAAAGGTCTTCCTTCCATTGGGTCACTCCCCAAATGGCCACCACGCCAGTGTGCTGTGTCAATCCAAAGCCAGGAGCCAGGTGCTTCCTCCTGGTCTCCCATGTGGGTGCAGGGCCAAAGCACCTGAGCCATCCTCCACTGCCTTCCCGGGCACAGCAGAGAGCTGGACTGAGGAGGAGCAACTGGGACAGAATCCGGTGCCCCAACTGGGACTAGAACCCGGTGACATTGTGATGATGTTAATTCTTCCAATCCAAAAATGTGGAAGATTTTCCTATTTTTCAGTGTCTTCTTCTGTTTCTTTCCTTAATATTTTGTAATTTTCATTGTAGAGATTTTTCACATCCTTGGTTCAATTTATCCCAAGGTATTTAAATTTTTTGTAGCTATTGTGAGTGGTACTGATCTTACAAGCTCAATTCAATGCAATGGTATTGTTTGTGTATACAAATGCAATTGATTTTGTGTTAATTTTATATCCTGCAACTTTACCACACTCTCTTAACAGTTCCAATAATCTCTTAGTAGGTTTTTTAGTTCCTTTACATATAGGATCATTCCCATTTGTATACCTTCTATTTCTTTTTCTTGCCTGATGGCTCTGGCTAAGACTTCCATTTGAATAGTAGTGGTGAGAGTGAGCATCTTTGTCTGGTTCTGGATCTTGGGTGGAAATACTTCAAACTTTCCCCATTCAATATGATGCTGGCTGTGGGTTTGTCGTAAATTACCTTGATTGTGTTGAGGGATGTTCCTTCTATACCCAATTTGCTTAATGTTTTTATCATGAAAGGACATTGTGGTTTATTGAATGCTTTCTCTGCATCTATTGAGATAATCGTATCATTTTAATTCTTCAGTTTGTTAGTGTAAAACATCACATTTATTGATTTGCATATGTTGAACCATCCCTGCATACCAGGGATGGGTCCCACTTTGTCCAGGTGAATGATATTTTTGATGTGTTGTTGGATTTTATTTGCTAGTACTTTATTGAGCATTTTTTTGCATCTATGTTCATCAGGGACATTATTGTATTGATCTCTTTCTTTCTTGTATCTTTTTCTGGTTTTGTAATTAATGTGATGTTGGCTTCATAGAAGGAGTTTGGGACAATTCTCTCCTTTTCAATTGTTTTGAATAGTTTGAGAATTATTGAGATTAGTTCTTTAAAAGTTTGGTAGAATTCAGCCATCCAGTTCTGGGCTTTCTTTCTCCCCAAACTGAACTAATTTTGCACATATGTTAAGAATGGTACAATTGATAGATAGTGGCCTTCAAGATTATTCTATTTGACAGACTAGGAGTAATATTGAAAGAGTTCTTATGGGAACAGACTATTTGTGGCAGCTTAATCACATGATATCTGCATGCAGATGGTAATACCAGACCCTGCCAGGTCCTGCTAACAGACCTTTGGGTATAATAAAGTGGAACAGACTCGAACCATTCTGCATTATCAGCCAAGCCACCACAGAGGGGACTAAGGTCTCTAAGGTCTCCCTGATGTCTTTGGACCATTTACAGAGTCCCTGTTGTCCTGCTGTGGCTAAGGATACAAGCCCCCCTACCCTCAGGGCTCTTACTTTCCCAGGGACAAAAGTACAGATATCCTGGGGTAGCTCATCCCGGCCTTCTCCTACTGTTCCCACTCTGCAGCACGCCTGTTTCTATGAACGCACATACCCCTGAGATTAGCCTAGTGAGCCACACCCCTGGCAGCAATGTGCCTTCTTCCAGGCTTTTGGCATAACTGACAATCTGCACAAGAGTGACCAGCACTCAGTCCTCTGGTGTGCCCTATTTCTGTTTATGTGTTGCCCTTCCTGTTTACCTGATCCTGAGAGCAGAGAAATTCTACCCAGGCAGGCTCTGCGGGAAGCAGGAAGAGGGGTGCTTCTTTGTAACACTTCTTTGTGGAACTGCTACAAAGACGTATCCTACACATCTCCCTTGGTTTCATCCTCACTACAGCTCTGTGAGCTAGATTGTCCTCATTTTGCATAGGAGGAAACCAAGGTTCAGAGAGGTCAGCCAAGGTTCCTGAGGTCACACAGCCATAAACAGGACGCCAGAATGCAAGGAGTCCCCACCTGTGCCCTTCCGACTCTGCCAGTCAGTGGCTGTGAGCCTAGGTAGGAGCAGACCGGCAGCTCCTCTCAGTGTCAGATGCAGAGAAGTCATCAATTGTATTGCTGGTCTAGCACCTCCTTCACTGATGGGTCTCGAAGCCCCAGTTGCTTATATTAATCAGCGCAATTCCAAAAATGTGACGACTCCAAAATGTAATTAACAGTTCATCTTTTTTTTAATCAGCAAAGTGAATGATCTTTCTTTTCTTTTTTTTCTTTTCATTATTTGACAGCTAGAGTTATAGACAGACAGAGACAAAGAAAATGGTCTTCCTTCTGTTGGTTCACCGCCCAAATGGCTGCTATGGTCAGAGCTGTGCCAATCCGAAGTCAGGAGCCAGGTGCTTCCTTCTGGTCTCCCATGCGGGTGCAGGGGCCCATGTACTTGGGCCATCCTCCACTGCCCTCCCAGGCCACAGCAGAAAGCTGGGCTGGAAGAGGAGCAACTGCGACAGAATCCGGCACCCATATATTATGCTGGCACCACAGGCAGAAGAATAATCAAGTGAGCCACAGCGCCAGCCCCAGTGATCTTTATTTTTGTTTTCAGTTTTCTTTCAGAAATATTCTCAGCTTCTTGAAGGAAAAAATCTTCAAAAGAATTAAATCTCATAATGTTAGAGTGTATGAAAAACAATTTTAACAGTAAACATTAATGTACCTGCAGTTTAGTTGCTGACTATACACAATGTAAGGATCCCAAATCAGTACCAGG